TTTCAGGCTCATGCCCACTTTTTCTATGCGTTCAAATACTATTTGAAGATGTTTAAAATGTTCTTCTTCTGAATTGCTTGCTAGTGTCATATCATCTATATATATACAAAAGGTAAGTCTCTGAATATTTTATACATGTATTTCATCAAGTATGCTGGTGCTATTTTTAATTTCATAGGCAATACATTCTATTCAAATTTGTCTTTTCCTGGAAAGAATACTGTTGTAAGGTGTTTATCTACTTCTCTGAGCTTAAATTGATAATAAGCTACTGTAAAGTCTAGTGTAGAGAATATTTTATGTTTTGCTAAGTTTTGTAATATAGTATTTATGTGTGGTATTTCATAAGGATCATCTTCTAAATATTGATTAAGTTTTGTGTAGTCTACTGCTATTCTATATGATCTATCTTTCTTTTAAATAATAACTAATGGTGATACCCATACTGCTTTTGATAGTCTAATAAAATCTTGTTTCTGTAGATCTTCAAATAATTTATTTGCTTGTTCTATTTTATCTTCTAAATATTGTCGTGGCATTCGTGCCTTATTCTGAAATAATATTTCTTTTTCATCACATTTTAATGTCAAAGTTATTGATTCAAAGAACTTTTTATTAAATGTTGATGCTGTTTTATTTTTTCTTCAAAATATATTAATAAATTTCTTGAATAATGGTGCCATTCGAGTTCTATATTCTTGTATAGTATTTTTTATTAATACTTCATATCGTTCTTTCTTAGTTTTTTCTTTTTCTTCAGGTTTTATTTCCCATCATTTGTCTTTTTCTTTTGGTATTTCTGCATCGTGTATTTCTATTATTTTGGTTACTTTTTCAAGATTACCAATATGATATTTTTTGGGTATTAATATGAGTTTATCCACATAGTTAATCACTCTTATTTTGTTATCATTAATTATTCTGTTCTGTATGATTATTTCATTTTGGGCTAAATGGATTGGTGTCTGTATTAAATAATTTCCTTTTTGAGATATATTAATTGCAGTCTATGTATATGGTCTGAGCGTATATTCTTGATTAGTATAATATGGTATTCCTGTACCTAATGTTGGTATGATATGTTTTCATATTTCATTTGGTATATGAGCTAGTTCATAGTGTATTATCATTTTACTATTTCTTGCTAATTGTGGTTGGTATCGCAATAATTCGATATTGAATATTTCTTTTTCAATGTATAATGATTCATCAGTGGTTGTACTATTATTGCTTTTTGTATCCATTTCATCATTATCATTGCTGTAGTATTCTTCTTGAAATTGTAATTGTTCTCCTTCAACAATAGTTTGAGGTGTAGATACTTGTTTTGATAATGTTTCTTGATTATGTCTTTCATCAAATAAATCTTGTCTTTTTCTATAGAATTCATCATTTTGTTCTTCTTCATGGATGTTTGTTATCACTTGATCTTTTACTACATTATGTCTTAAATCTGGTTCTTGATATTTC